ACAGAGAGAAAGGTCTTTCTTTTCTGTTGGTTCACCCTCCAAATGCCGCCGCGGCTGGTGCGCTGCGGCCAGCGCACCGCGCTGATCCGATGGCAGGAGCCAGGTGCTTCTCCTGGTCTCCCATGGGGTGCAGGGCCCAAGCACTTGGGCCATCCTCCACTGCACTCCCTGGCCACAGCAGAGAGCTGGCCTGGAAGAAGGACAACTGGGACAGAATCCGGCGCCCCAACCGGGACTAGAACCTGGTGTGCTGGCGCCGCAAGGCGGAGAATTAGCCTAGTGAGCCGCGACGCCGGCCTCCCATCATCATACTTATTACTTGATAGTTGCCTAATTATCTTCAGTCTAGACAAGCTCATTGAGAGTTGGCACAAGGGAAACACAAAATTGACACCAACTGTATGTTGATTGAATGAGAAATTAAAAGTATGCTGACAAATTAAGAAGAAACATGTTTAAAAAAGTAGGAGGGGAGCTGACGCTTTGGCATAGCGAGTGAGGGTGCCGCCTGCAGTGCCAGCATCCCATATGGGCACCGGTTCGAATCCCGGCTGTTCCATTTTCGATCCAGCTCTCTGCTATGGTCTGGGAAAGCAGTGTAGAAGATGGCCCAAGTCCTTGGGCCCTTGCACCCATGTGGGAGACCTGGAAGAAACTCCTGGCTTCAGATCGGCACAGCTCCGGCCATTGCAGCCAATTGGGGAATAAACCAGCAGATGGAAGACCTCTCTCTCACCCTCTCTCTCTCTGCCTCTCCTTCTCTCTCTATGTAACTCTGACTTGCAAGTAAAATGAATAAATTTTTTAAAAAATGAAAAGAAATAAGAGGTACAGAGAGGTCAATAAACACGAAAACAGAAAGGCCATTAGATTTTATTACAGGATGTCCTATAGTTTTTGCTGTGATTAGGATGGGGCTTGAAGCTAAGTTACAAGGAAAGAAGTGAGCGAATGATAACCTCGTTTGGGAATTCACATAAAACACACGGCAGAAGGGACGCCATCAGATGATGAGGACACAGAAGCGTCACTGTGGGATGCTGCTCCAAGGGAGGAGACAGCTGCTGCTTTGAGACCACGGAGTTGAGAGCAGCCAGCGTTATGGTGCCGCAGGGTACGCCACTGCCTGCAGTGCTGGCCTCCCATGGAGGTACCAGCTCAAGCCCTGGCTGCTCCCTTCTGAGGTGGTTCCCCACTAATGCACCTGGGGAAGCCATGGAAGATAACCCAAGAGCTTGGGTCCTTGCACCCACTGGGAGACCTCTGTGGAGTTCCAGGCTCTCAGCTTTGGGCTGACCCAGCCCTGGCTGTTGCTTTGTAGCAAGTGTTGAAATCAAGAAGTGTGAACTCCCCCCCACCTTTTTTTTAGGATTCTTTTAGCTGTCCTGGTCCCTTGCAGCTCAATATGAATTTTAGAATCAACTTGTCAATTTTTACAGATGACTCAGATGGGATTCTAATAGGGTTTATGTTGAATCTATCAATCAATTTCAAGAGTATTGCTCTCTTAATATTAAGTATTCCAATCAATGAACATGGAATAGTTTTCCGTTTCTTTAGGTGTTGTTTCATTTATTTTCACAATGTTTTGTAGTTTTCAGGGGGTAAGTTTTGCACTTCTTTTATTATTAAATTTACTACTAATTATTTTTTCTTATTGATACTATTGTAAATGTAATTGATTAATTTCATGTTTAATTGTTTATTGTGAGTGGATAGAAATAGTGTGGATTTTTGTATAATGATCTTGTTTCCTGAAACCTTGCTGAATTCTTTGGCTTTCCTGTGGCACGTTGGTATTTGGTATTTCACATGTATATGATTATCTGTGTAATCGTGTCACCTGTGAATAGGGAGCGTTCTCCTGCTGCTGCTGCAGTCCACGTGCCTCTTCCTTTGTTCGTGACTAGCTGCTCTGGCCAGACGTTCCGGCACAGTGTTGAGCATGGCAGTGAGAGCAGACATGTTGGGGTTTTCATTGGGTTGAATTGAATCCATAGATGAATTTTGGGTTAATTGACATCTTTTTTGGGGGGATAATTGACTTCTTTACATTAAATTTTTTTTTAAAGATTTATTTATTTGAAAGGCAGAGTTACACAGAGAAAGGAGACCAGAGAGAGAGAGAGGTCTTCCATCTGCTGGTTCACTCCCCAATTAGCCACAACAATCGGAGCTGCACTGATCCAAAGCCAGGACTTGGAGCATCTTCTACTGCTTTCCCAGGCCATAGAGAGAGCTGGATCGAAATGGACCAGCTGGGTCTTGAACCGGCACCCATATGGGATGCCAGCGCTTCAGGCCAGGGCTTTAACCTGCTGCGCCACAGCACTGACCCTACATTAAGTCTCTAGAACCGTGAATATGATATATTTCTCCGTTTATATCTTTAATTTCTTTCAGTCTGTTTTTTTTTCTTTCTTTTTTTGTATTGGTCTTACATGTTTTGTTAGATTTGTTTCTAGGAACTTGATATTTTGCATACTATTGTAAGTGGTATTTTTATTAACTTTCAATTTTTTACTGTTTATAGCTCTATATAGAACTATGGTAATTTTTTTTATTTGAAAGCAGTCACCTTACATGAATAATCATAAGGGCTGCTGTTACGGTACAGCAGCAGATCATGCCATTGCTTGCAAAAACAGCTCCCCTATTGGGGTACCAGTTCAAGTCTCAGCTGCTCCGCTTCTGATCCAACTCCCTAGTGAAGTGCAAGCGAAGGCAGTGGAATATGGCACAAGTGCTTGGGCTCCTGCTGCTCATGTGTGAGACCTGAACGGACTTCCTGGCTCGTGACTTCAGCCTGGCCTAGACCTGGCTCTTGTGGCCATTTGGGGACTAAACCAGTGGATGGAAGACTTCTCCCTTTTCTGTCTCCCTCTCTCTTTGACTAAATAAATCTTTTTTTATTTTTTAATTTTTTTAAGTTTATTTATTTGAAAGAGTTATAGAGAGGTAGAGACAGAGAGAGAGGTCTTCCATCCGCTGGTTCACTCCCTAGATGGCTGCAACGGCCGGAGCTGCACCGATCCGAAGCCTGGAGCCAGGAGCCAGGAGCCAGGAGCTTCTTCTGGGTCTCCCATGTGGGTGCAGGGGCCCAAGGACTTGGGGCATCTTCTGATTTCCCAGGGCATAGCAGAGAGCTGGATTGTAAGAGGAGCAGCCGGGACTAGAACTGGCATGCATATGGGATGCTGTTGCTTCAGGCCAGGGCTTTAACCCGCTGTACCACAGCACCGACCCCCCTATTTTTAATTTTTAAAGATTTTATTTATTTATTTGAGAGACATAGTGTTAGACAGAGAGAGGGAGAGGCATAGAGAGTGATCTTCCATCTCTTGGTTCATTCCCCAAATGGCTGCAATGGTTGGAGCTAGGCCAATCCAGAGCCAGGAGTCAGGAGCTTCTTCTGGGTCTCCCGTGCGGGTGCAGGGGCCCAAGGACTTGGGGCATCTTCTGATTTCCCAGGGCATTAGCTGTGGAGCTGGATCAGAAGTGGAGCAGCCAGGACTCAAACTGGCGCCCACTTGAGATGCTGGCGCCACAGGCGTAGGCTTAGCCCATTATGCCACAGTGCCTGCCCTATAAATCTTTTTTAAAAAATATATACATCTTTTAAACATCACTATGATTGATTAGTTCTTTATTCTAATAAGCCTGTTGATTTTGTTTTCTCTGCTGCTAGAATCTCTACTTTTACAAAATGTGCAGCCCTTCTCTTCATCCTGCCTTGTTGATTAGATCAGTTGAAGGGCCACAGGAGATTGTTTACTTTTTTGAAGTGTTTCTCAGCACGATAGTTCTCATTCATCAGATTTTTCCATGCAGATAATACTGCATTTACTGAGCGATGAAGAAATCTGCGTACTGATTTTATGCTTGTTAAGTTCTTGCCAACCTCTGCTTCTAGATCACTCACTGACTTCGGGTTTGGATGCTCCCATCCAGTATGTGATTTCTCAGCCCTCACTGTGTGCTGCCCAGCATCAGGTATTTCGTTGTTCCGACACAAAGTGCGCTGACACTGACGTTGCCTCTCAGTTGGCTGTTGTGAATATTGCTCAGTGAACCGGGGAGGGCAGATGTCTTCAAATCCTGGCTTCACTTCCTTTGGATGTATATATGCCTCCTAGTGAGGTTGCTGGGGCACGTGGCAGTTCTGCTTTTAGCTTTTTGAGGAAACTCCAAGCTGTTTTCCATAATGGCTATGCTAATTAACATTCACATCAGCAGTGCAGAGTCCCTTTTCTGCATATAATTGCCAGTGCTTGTTATAGGTGCCTTTTTGATAGCTGCCATTCTAAACAGTGTGAGATGATACCTCATTGTGGCTTTAACTTGAATTTCCTTGATATTGAGCATTTTTTTATATACCTGTTAATCATTGGTGTGTCTTCTTTTGAGAAATCTTAACTCTAATAATTTGTCTGTAAATTCCTTTAGATTTTACATAGATGCAGTCATAGCACCATTTTATTTCTTCCTTTCCAGTTCTTCGAATTTTACCCCTTCTCTTGTCTCACTGCACTATCTAGCTTATCTGAAACAGTGTTGCAAATTTGGAAAATCCTTTTGTGTTTTTTGTTTCAAAGAAAGAGCTTTTGCTATTTTATCATTGAACGTAGTATTTAATATAGATGTGTAAAGGTGCCCTTTAGCAGATTAAGGAAATTTTCTTTTAGTATTGGTTTGGTGAACAGTTTTATAATGATCAGATGTGAATTATAACACCCTGCATTCCACATTGATTGAGATGATCGTGTAATTTCTCCCTTACGTGTTGTCGTAACAAGTTGCACTGAAATACATTCTGCTGGTAAATCAGCCCTCCACTAGAGGAAACCCGGATGGTGGATGGTCATAATAGGTTGCCTTAGAGTCATAGAGTCATGAGGGTCAAATGAAGTAGCATGTGAAATTCTTTGTAAAGTTTAAAGCATTCTGTAAATATGTGATACAAATCTGAGTTTCATAAGCATTTCCTTTTTAAATTTCAGGCAGAACTCAGAAGCTTGATGGACAATGCTTCTTCATCCTTTGAATTTGCCAAAGAACTCATCAGGCACAATCTGGTGAATAAGCTTCCTATCTTTTTGTGTGTGTGTGTGTGTGGGTTTTTTTTTTTTGGTAAAGATTTATTTATTTATTTGAAAGAGTTACACAGAGAGAGGAGAGACACAGAGAGAGAGAGAGAGAGGTCTTGCAACGCTGGTTCACTCCGCAGTTGGCTGTATTGGCTGGAGCTGCGCCGATCTGAAGCCAGAGCCAGGAGCTTCTTCCGGGTCTTCCCATGCTAGTGCAGGGGCCCAAGGTTTTGGGCCATCTTCTACTGCTTTCCCAGGCCACAGCAGAGAGCTGGATCATAAGTGGAGCAGCCGGGACTCGAACCAGTGCCCATATGGGATGCAGGCAGCAGCATTACCTGCTACGCCGCAGTGCCGGCCCCAAGCTTCCTGTTTTGACTAACTTTACTCCTACTCTTGTTTTGGTACATCACAGCAGCTGGAAAGAAGAGTATTACTTCACTCCAAGGGGACATCTTATTGCTCTGGAGGAGAGCAAAGAGTTTAACATATCAGTATCTTTCCTCAAGGAAAGCCTGACTGGGAGGAAAGGAATGTGTATCCCATTTCGGGAGAAGGGCAAGGCAGTGTAGATACAGGTGTTGAGTGTTTTGGGAAAGACAGAACATATCCTGATGGATTAGCATAACCAGGGAAGACTTTCTGTTCTTTGAGGAAGGGCTAAGATACAGAGGTTTCAAGTCTAGTCAGGGACATCGCACTAGGATAAGGATTGTATGTGGGAAAGGTTGTGAGCAGATGTGATCTTACTGGAACCATGAGTCTGCACTGGGAAATACCGCAAAGTTAAGTTGGAGAGGATGTAGACTGAAGACTGGATTATGATGGGCATGGCTTCTTAAAAAGTCTAAGCTCAGAGTCTTCGATTTTTATTGACCACTTTGGACACACTCAAGACCACTTGGCACATTTTCTGGTATTGCTGAGTCTCCAGTTCCTCATCTGAAGATGGTGATAGTACCCACACCTGTCCTTCTGATGTCTCTACTCCTCCCTAGCATGAATTCTAGTACCCACACCTGTTCCTCTGATGTCTTTACTCCTCCTAGCATGAATCCTAGCACCCACACCTGTCCTTCTGATGTCTCTACTCCTCCTAGCATGAATCCTAGTACCCACACCTGTCCTTCTGATGTCTCTACTCCTCCTAGCATGAATTCTAGTACCCACACCTGTCCTTCTGATGTCTCTACTCCTCCTAGCATGAATTCTAGTACCCACACCTGTCCTTCTGATGTCTCTACTCCTCCTAGCATGAATCCTAGTACCCACACCTGTCCTTCTGATGTCTCTACTCTCCCTAGCATGAATCCTAGTACCCACACCTGTCCTTCTGATGTCTCTACTCCTCCCTAGCATGAATCCTAGTACCCACACCTGTCCTTCTGATGTCTCTACTCCTCCCTAGCATGAATCCTAGTACCCACACCTGTCCTTCTGATGTCTCTACTCCTCCTAGCATGAATCCTAGTACCCACACCTGTCCTTCTGATGTCTCTACTCCTCCCTAGCATGAATTCTCCTAGTAC